CCCCCCCGGCTCCGTGGGAGTGGGGCCAGGGTGGCCCCATCCGGGAGAGGGGCCGGGAGCAGCGTCCCCATGGAGGGGCCCTGTCACAGCTGCCCTCGCAGAGAACTTTGTTGTTGTTTTTTTTTTTTCTTTTTTTTCCAGCTAGAATATGTCTATTTAAGAAAACCTTCCTCATATCTACAGATGTGTCTGTTCTGCACACATTTTCTACTAAATGCCCTTATTTAGGCTGCTTCTGTGCACATCTGTCTCGGTTTCCCCACTCCTTCGAATTCTGTGCAGAGACTGCTTGAAACACAGATACTTCTTAACCTGAGATTAATCTGTCTGAAGCTCTAAATGACCGTGGACACTTGGCTACAGATATTTTCAATATATTAGCCTACTCCACGGTGCTCTTAGCAATGCTAAATACCCCAGGCACAGCTGATAACTATTAACTTATGATGGTTCATCCCACTCCTTCCTGTCTTTCCATACTTCTGTACTAGCACCCTTTACCAGGGTGCTAGTGAACTGTAGCTGATCCTGAGCGCTCCTTATGCTCGTGTGACCCCAGTACCAGGTTCTGTAATTCAGCTAATGAATTGGGAATTGCAAGCACATTTTCAGATATTTTTTTGCTTATATGAAGATGTTACTGTGTTGCAAGGGTCAGGAATGATGGGCAGCTAGGTAAAGGCTGGAATTAAAGCCCGGTAAGGGGCAGCCTTCCTGTGGTGTGGAGCACACCGCGGGAGTGAGCACATCCTACAGGAGAGCTTCAGGGGGCCCAGGGACAGGACAGAGGCACAAACCTTTCCCCTTTTCCTGGGTTGTTTTTGCTGTGGGCTGGGCAGAGGCAGCACCATGTGCTGCGGGAGCAAACCAGCTCTGCAGAGCAGATAAATCAACCGTTGCTCCATCTGCTCCTTATGTGGAAAATATTAGCCAAAATTCCCTGGGATCCTTTACAAGAGCTTTTCCTATTGCTATTCCTTCACTTTTCTTTTATCAAGCACTCACATTAGAGAATGCCAGCCTGTATAAAGGGAATTGCAGCTGATCAGCTTTTGGAAAATGTGTCTGTGTATACCTATATATGTATCTATAGAGAGATATATATAGATAAATATATAAAAAAGGAAGTATTAGTTTTGGAAATGGTGCATTGCTGGTCTGTGGGTGCCCAGAGTGGCTGGCGAGCCGGTTCTAACCGAGCCTTGCTCTCGTTGGAGCAGCACAGCCCCTTCTTCGCGGAGCAGCTGACGGCCTTCCAGGTGTCGCTTCTGTACGCGTCCCCTTCGCTGCAGGGAGCAGAGGAGCGAGGCTCGTGCAGAGGGGTCTGCCCGGCTCCCCCGGCTTCACATGTGCAAGGGCAGAGAATTGGAAGTAGGAGAAACACCACCTCTTACCCGCTTGTGTTTTATGGGACAGTCTGCTCCCCCTCTCCTGCCTGGGAGTTTACGCTGCCAGGAATGAAAGCCCTGAGCAAGGCGGCTCTGCTGTCAGGTAGCAAAATATAAAACCCTTCTGCTGCCAGGGTTGCCAGCGCTTACACAAGGGCAGCTGACAGGAGGACTCTCCTCCTCGCTGTTCGCTGCCAACGTGTTCCATGACTGACAGCATCATCAGTCTTTGTGAGAGCAAACCTCAATTTCCGTGAGCCTCCTGGGTTGGGAGATTGGCGGGATAAGCAGCTGCCGTGTTCATCTCCTCGGCTGTGGCGGGGGGAGGCAGCGGCTTCCCTGGCACCGGCATCGCTGCTTCCGGACACTCCCATTTTTCATATAATTAAAGCTTATGTAGTTGTATGGTGGATCGTTTAGCTCCCGGCAAGCAGGTCTGAGACGGGAGAGGGAGGCAGTTGCATCCCAGGCATCCGAGGCCCTGCCTGGGAAAGGAGGAAAGGATGGAGCGACCATCTCCCTGGAGGGTCTAAAACCAGGGAAAAGAGAAGGCATTGGAGTGGGATCAGGGGAAATTTCATATAATTAAAGCTTATGTAGTTGTATGGTGGATCGTTTAGCTCCCGGCAAGCAGGTCTGAGACGGGAGAGGGAGGCAGTTGCATCCCAGGCATCCGAGGCCCTGCCTGGGAAAGGAGGAAAGGATGGAGCGACCATCTCCCTGGAGGGTCTAAAACCAGGGAAAAGAGAAGGCATTGGAGTGGGATCAGGGGAAAGGGTCCTCCTAGGCCCCAGGCTTTCCTGCTTCCCCATGGTCAGGGTAGCCGTAACGATGGGAGCCCGTGTGCGTTCGGGCAGGCCGTGGCGCGGTGACCTGCAGCCGGTTCCCGTCCCGGCTGGGCTCCCGCTGGCACCGCGGATCCGGCCCCGCACGCAGGGCTGCCGGGTCTGGCTCCGGGTCACTCCGTAAGTTACTCTCGTCCCCAGCAGCTGCCTCGTTGCTCCAGAACAGGTTGTCGGTTGTGCCAAGGTCTGTCGTTCGTTAGGGAGCAGCCTGGTGCCAACTAGGGCACAATGACCAAAATCCTTTCTCTTACGCCCTGTCCTGGGATCTGAGCTCAGTAATTCGGAGGTGAAACAGCTAGAGCAGTTAATACCCCCTCCCACGCAGCAGTCTTTTTCTTCTGGACTTTCTCTGCACAAATTTAGTACCTAGTATCAGCGGTCTATGGTATGAGACAGGAGCCAGATAATGCTAGTTTTTCTTCAACATTAAACATGAAAAATAATTTAATTAGATATACGATGTGGAAAAAAAAAAACAGAAGGGGGTGGAATTGGGGAGCTGAATCAACGAGTCGCTGTCATGATCTATGCTGAGGGATGTTACTCAGTTTAAGCAGAGGATTAAACGTTGCATTCCAGTATCTTACATTTGTTAAGGAGATTAAGAACTGAAAGTCTGACTGTTAATATTTCACACCAGGCTAGGTATAAGCCAGTAAACTGCAACCTCATTATCATCGTTAGACTCCATTTTAATGAGATTTTTATTAAAGACTAATGTGACCTTTTGCTTCCCTTTTAAGTCTCTGATATCCGTTTGCCAAGGAAAGCAAAGCCTCTTTTTCTGCTCCTGGGCCGTTTCAGATAACGGGAGCCTGGGCCACGTGCTCTGCTTCCTGCAGACACCATCCCATCCTGCTCGCCTGGGAGAAGGTTTTCGGGGAGGGTTCTTGTCTTCCAGTTTATTAAGTGGTTCAGAACATCAGACTGCTCAAAGTTGCATGAGGCTCTTGAGGCCCTCCTGCATTTGCTCTGCAAGTACAAGGATGTTTGTTCTTTCCAGTAATAATTGTTGTCCGTTTGCTTTGCAGGTGCTGCTGAGCCAAGTCCATCGGCTCCGAGCTCTTGATTTGCTGGGAAGATTTTTGGACCTGGGTCCCTGGGCAGTTAGCCTGGTGTGTGGGTGTTACGTGTTATCTTGTAAAAGTGTTCCCTGGATCAGGTGATAAATACAAATGATGATTTATGAAAGGAGGACATGGCAGATGTTCCAGGAATTTGAGCAATGGTTGGGTTTGTTCTTTAGGTATGGAAAATGGAGTAAATATCCCAAGAAAAAGAAGGGGGGTAGGTTGTATTAGTCATGAAGGACAAATAGCTGTTCACCTGCATTGCTATGAAGAGGATTCCCTTTGGAATAGTTTAGTTTAAAATACTGCAAGGATTAAAATGGGGGAAATGTCTAGGATGACTAAGAAGGTTTGTCCTAGTGAACAAAACTCATCTGAGATCCAGAGCCTGTGCTCGCCGCCCGGAGCTCGCGGCTGCGGCGCTCCCGCTCGTCCCGTCCGCTCCGTGTCCGGCTGCCTCCCCTCGTGCGGCCGGGCAGGCGCTGCGGGGAATAACCACGGACCAGGCAAAGCCGTGGGAAGCGCTCCTCTCAGTGGGGCAGTTTGACAGCACTGATGAAGAGGAACCACCAGCTAGTTGTGGAACAGATCCATGATGGGCCTTTACCTTCCCTCTGTCCTCTTCTGTGTCACAGAAAGCCTGGCTGTGACAAACTGCGCTCTCCAAAGAGCATAGTCTGTTACCGTGCAAAAGATCTGGGAAAAAGTCAGTGCTAGGGGAGAGGCCTACTTGATTTCCAGTGGGAAGAGTGTAATTATTGAGCTTTTGCAGTGTGTTTACTTGTGGGAGCAAACGGCCCTATCTGAGGAGAGCAGCGTATCGTGAAGCATAAAATAGCAGAGGCTGTAATGAGGAGAGCTAGGGCGAGATTAACTCTGGGGCTCGGTGGGCGAAACAAGCCTGGAAATATCTGGTGACATCCAAGATTAAAATGAGCAATCAACAAGTACACAGGAATCCCCTCTTTACTAGAAATGTATGAAATTGTTTCTTAGCAGGTTTCTCCTCTGTGGCATTAAAAACGCTGCGTGTTTGTAACGCGTGCGGTGCTGCCGCTCTGCAGCGGAGCTGGAGGCCCTGCTCAGTCACTGCTCTCTGTCCCCGCAGGCCCTGTCCGTCGGCATCTTCCCATATGTCCTGAAGCTACTTCAAAGCTCAGCTCGCGAGCTGAGACCACTTCTTGTGTTCATCTGGGCCAAGATCCTCGCCGTGGACAGCGTGAGTATTGCTGGACTTGCTGCTTTTGCTTTGGTTTTCGGCCGCATCCCTCGTCGTCCCATTTTTCCTTATCCACTTAGCGTGTACGCTGAGGAGCTCCAGACTGTGCTCGTCTGCAGCGCAACGAGTTGCTCTAGGTGGTTCATTCCGCTCACACATAAGCTGATTTCCAGGAGCTGTGGATGTGATACCCACTAGAGACCCGCCAGGCTGGGTGGTTTGGCCCTGCCTGGCCGGGAGGGCTCGTGCTGCGTTCCTTGTCCCTGCTGGATGTCACCGTGTCCTCGTCCTAGCGCCTGCGTTGGTGACGACGTCACCCGCGTGCCTGG